GGTTCCTCCGAAGCGGCGAGCTCGACCCAGGTCGTGACGCCCGTGATCTTTGCACCGTTGCCGCGGTGCGAGCTCATCGAACAGGAGCGGATTCTGCTCATCGTTGTTGAGCGCGCGCGCGCACCTTTTGGTGTGAGGTTGTTTGCTCGCAGATGTGCCGGGAGTTGGTGGATAGAACAGGTTAGAAATAAGTAGGCCAGGAAGTGGAGCGAACTGTCTTGATATGTTTTGATGGTTCCTTGAACCATCTTGATTCCGGCTGCATGCTACATCATGCTACCAAAGCTTCCAAGCAAAGCCGATCTCTTTCAGCGCCGAGCCAAAACGGTAGGATTTGAGAGAGTTCAACGGCTTCATCAATGGCCGCTCGGCGGAATGCAGCGATTGAGGCTGAAGAAGGAAAAGGGCAACAGCTAGGCTAAGCCTGCTTTTTCTTGCGCGCGTTCCAAGAGTATGTAAGACTGTAAAACCAACTGGCCTGAGTGTTGTTCACTAGAGTCTTTGACTTGGAGATCATTGATTATAGACGGCCCACCATGAAGATCAAGAAGCAAAGTTGCTTCAAACGAGAGGAGTCTTTGCATGGATTTGGCCTGCGTATTTGATATAAACCTCTCGCAGACAGGCAACGTGTGTAACAGCCAAAGATAGTATTTCACACCAGCGTTGGCGCCACACAAATCTCATAGAGAGCTATGTGGTCACCTTGGGAGTTTGAAGTTGACCTAAATTAAAAAGAAAACAACATTTACCCCGGATGTTGAGGAATCTATATTGTATTGACGCAGACGGGAATTGTGCTTTTAAAGATGTTCATGTCAGGTTTCATGCTGCTCAGACCACAGACCACTGACTTTGCTTTATCACTTAGGCCGAGCAGGGATGTCAGAGAAAGAGCTACCAGAAGTGGTCGAGCGAGGACAAAGGCAGCCTCTGGGTTTGTTTTGGATTGATGAGCAATGTATTAGTTATAGATTATGTACTTGAGTCAAAGGACAAGGCTGGATGGAATATGACGATATGCATTTTAGCATGCTCATTCCTTGCCCAGTGGTCAGCAAGCAGCCAAGCACAGACAGAAGTGGAACACTGATTACTGGACCAAGCAAATCTTAGCTTTTGCTGCACAAGTGTTTGATCAACAATGACAAAGACAACTGCGACAACGACAACCACAACACAACAACAACGCTGACGGTTGATTTAGAACAATCCTGGCAGTGTAAGGGGAGTTGTGAATCAAACAATATGCAACTACTCTCCTGTGCCTTTGGGGTACGCCGAAGACTTGTTCGGCTCGCGGTTGTGTCTTGAAGTTTTCGACCAACCATGGGCTCCTTTGTCAATCGTTTTGAATGGCGTTTGGACCAAACAATGTAGAACAATCAAAAGAGATCTCTTTTTGGACCAACAATGCTTTGAACGGCTTTGAATGGCTTGTTTTTCGACCTCAAAAAAGCGATCTCTTGGGACTTACCCTTTTCCGGATTCTTCAGATCTCAAATGCATGTGATTCTACCACTTTTGGGATTCTGCGACCGTTGTTGTCTCCAGAGCGACGGGTTCTCGCTGCCAGGGGCCGAGCACGGACCATCTTTGAGTGTGGCTTGGTGGACTCGGTCAGCTATTGGACAAAGATGTGCCAAAGCCCAGAGGGACAGATGGGACAAAGAAGCATGAGGAGAAAGAACATGGGAACACCCATGGTTTTGGGTCAATCTCGGCCGGCATGGAGGTTTCGTTATGATTTTCAGTTGTTGTTTTTGTACATCTTCGGATGGTTTTGATTTGGCTATGGAAGATGTTCGGAATGATAGTGACCGAGTGAACTGAGGCTGAGTTTTGCTTAATAAGAAAGGAGCAAGCTGCCGGCTTTGATAGAACATGTCTCCCAGAGCTTTGCCTAGCAGAAAAGATCGGAATCCCAATGAACATTCGCTCTTGTGTAAGTTTCAACTGTGTGATGTTTGGGCCTTTTTGGATACAGTAGATGTTGCTACCGGAGTGGAGTCCAATTGCCTTTTGAAGGAATTGAGCTGTGGTTGCACAAACGAAAGGTTTCTCACCCGTGAAATTGAGAATCAAATTCCATGCGAACCTGTGAAATTTCATGTGCAACTCTTTCCAGTATTCAACCGCCATCCACTGCTAACTGCTCATGTTACTCATGTGCTATGTGCTACATATAGTGCTACACGTCACAAATGGGCATTTGTGCGATTTGTGGACTGAGGCCAATCATTGTCCTGCTTTTCAACCTCTTAAGCAGGCCAAGCTGTGCCACGCTGTCTTTGAATTGCAGAAATCACCAACCGACTGAGTTTCAGTCAATTTTTTCCTATGAATCAATTCTATCATTTAGTTGTTTGTACCGGGGTTCCTTCCTAATGAGCACCCAAAACCGATAGGTTTGTTCTGAAGTGACCAATATGTTCACCAAGCTGGTTCTCACAGAGCAAGAAGCTTGCGCAGAAGAAGGAGTAGCACCATAGCTGGAAGGGGCGCAGCCGCACCAGACAGATGAACTTTGGGTCAGAGAGATCTGGTAACGCGCCACCAGTCAACACCAGTGAACCATCCAAACGTTCGCACGAGAGCCACATGAGCTCGAAAGCCCAAGTGCTTTTGGATTCGTTTTCAGACGTTCAGAGGTCATCAGTCGTCATCCTCCATCTCAGCTTGCGATGTTGAACTCATCACATGCAAGATGTTCAGTAGCCAAGATATCCCAAGATGATCAAGATGTTTAATGTTCCCTGTTCCTCAAGCCAATCCAAGATGTGCTATCTTCCTTTATGATCCTATGCCGCACGTGCTTTGTCTAGTGACTAGTGGACTTCATGTCTGGAGATTGGGATCCCTTGCACTCACCGTGGATCCCATGCAGCTGGAAAGGACATATCAGAAGAAGGACATTTGAAGGACATGTTCTGAGTTTGAGGTAATTGAAGATATCCATGGATGGACATGCTCAACAAAGATGGTCACACAGTTCTGAATGGTCATTTCAGGTAACTGAAGATATCCATGTTCTGAATTTGCTCAACACTGGATGCTTCTGTTACCTGAAATCATCCAACGGCTCCGGGTACTCATGAACCTCCATTGGGCACGACGATCCTTTGATGTTTAGCAACATGTTGATCATCCGCCCCTCATGACCACAGGTTGCTCCTGTGCATGGCCCTGGCGCAGGGATGCCAAAGAAGGGGGTTGGATTTCACAGGTTGCTCCTGCGCACTCCAAAAGAACCCTCAACCCTGCTGTACCTGAGAGCTGGACTCACTTGTCACTTCCTGCCTGGAAGGTGTTTGGAATGTACTGAAGCATGAAAAGAAAGGGAGGACTCTGATAGTGCACACTGAGTTCCACGTCCCAAGTTCGTAGCATGAGATGAGGGTGACCTTTCCCACAATTCCTTACTGGTACATACTAGAACAACAAACTATGAGCTGAACAAACTTTAACGACACCTTGAAGAAATGTTTCATAGGAGATGTAGTCACTTGTTCAGGAACCCACCCTTCTCACCGCGGTTCTCCATCAATCAAGATCGTCAATCTTGAAATCATGGATGCGGTCAGTTCTCTTGGTGTGCCAAGTAAAGTATATGAACGAGCCTGCATGAGCGGTATAAGCATCCTTTTGTGGCCAAAGAGGTCTTGTCCTGGCGAGAACAAACAGGTCTTACATGTATTCTAGGATGTTTTGGGTGTACAAAACCAATGGAAGTTCTGGGGTCCAAATGTTGAAAACAAGCAAATACTGCCGCTTGCGGTGCGCAACACCTTGACAAAGACGGGTGTCAGTACTGGAACATTCTTCCTGCACTTAGCTAGCCCTACACTTCCAACTACCTTCGTTTTGAAGGTGTGACTAGGGTGAGTTTTAGGAGGGTCAACCACTATGTAAATGAGATGAAGATACGTAGGTGTCAGAACAAGTCGAACAAATCTCCCTTCTAACTCTTGTTTTTCAACACCAGTCTGTTAAGAAAAACACAACCCTTCGCTCCTTCCGGAGCCCGCGTTGAGGCTAGCGCTACCGGCGGAAATCATTGATTTCCTTTGGGTCGCTCGGAGCGCACCGAGCGGAGCCCACAGGTTCAGGGAGGTATGGAGAGATAGAGAGAGAGAGAGAGCGCGAGCAGAGCCACCCATTTGGTGATCCGATTTCAGTTTCTTTCATATACTGTACTAATTGCAACCATGTGTTTGTTACAGCACCATCTACTGAGCCTTCACAGTAGAACACAGAGACGGCTGCCTAGACTCGTAGACTCTTGATTGTATTTCACCCCCTCCATATTGAAGAGGTTCGTCAAGCCATGTCTACTTCTTTTGTAGACATTGTAGACTCTTGGTATCCCGTATGAAGAAGTTCTTCATTCCATGTCTCGGGGGCTTATTAATCAATGGCCCAAGTGACTCCCTAAAAAGTGATGGATTGCACTGTACCTGGCCAAGGGGCATTAGCGCTGAACATGGTGTTTGAAACCACAAACCTACCTACTCTGCAGCCACCATAGTTCATGAGTAACTTGTGTGTGTCCCTTTTCATTGGTTGTGAGTTTTCTTCTGGGCCCGTTGCCAGGGTTGAGTGTGTTCATTTACTGCTCCGAGACACTGCACATGGCTGAGCAGCCAGCAAGCAATTTGAGTTGCCCTTCATATCATGCCGCTGGAGAGATCAACTGCTTCGACCCGGCAGAGAGAACTTCACTAGGCTTCGCCTCAGACACGACCAGCATGTGAACCTGCGCGGACACTCGGGTGTCAGTAGTTAACCGAGTATAGGTGTTCCAGTTGAGGGTTTGTGTCCAAGAAGTTCGCTCCAAAACATCCGGCTCAGTGTTCCTCCACGAACCATGATTCTCATCAAGTACCAGCAAATCCGCCTTTGTTGAAGGCACGACCTCTTCCCTTGAACCCAAAGGGCACCACCCCCCCCCCCCCCCCCCCCCACCAATTCCCCGCATGCCGCGCGCCGCCCCGGCGCCGCCCGGCGCTGCGCCGCGGCGCATGTCGAAGCCGGGCCGCCGCGACGGGCACGATGGCGCTGCCGGCGGAGCTGGCGCAGCTGGCGACGGAGCTGGCGCCCTTTGTCCATCCGGCGTTGGTGCGCAGGGCCTGTGCAGACGACTCCTGGCGATCGATAGGTGTGGTGAGAAGAGTGTCGAGCATGGTCATGAAATTGAGGGGGCAATTATCTTGGGAGATGATGGGGAAAAGATGAATGTGTAAATTTAAAGATGGGTGGGAAAATATGTTAAGCATGTATAGAGCGTTCGGAGTGTTAATGTATTTGGGTGATGTTTCTGGGGATGATTGAGGATGTTTCTGGGGAAGTGCGGAATGTGCAAAAGAAGTGCAAGATGGGAGTCATTGATCAGTTTTGTTGCTATGTGACTTGATGATGACGATGATGATGATGATGATGATGATGATGATGATTTTGTTCCCATGTTGGGTAAAAACCAATAAGGGATGGACCAACATTGAGAAGGCCTGGTGGTGGGTGAGCATGACATTCATGCCCATCTGACTTTCAGTGCTTCCTTAACCTTGCATGTTTCACTTTGACTCACATTCTATCTATGGAAGTAGAAATTGGATGGAAATGGTCCCTTGGAATAGGATATTCCTCTTCAATCAGGAGGTGGAGTGATCTGCTCGTTGAACATAAAACACCACGGAAGTGGAACACCATTTGTTTGGTATTCAAAACATGGTCATCCGAGGATCCAAGGGCCCATGAAGATTCCAGGGAGTGTCTTGCTTTAGAACCCTAGAGGTCAACGACCTCTTTTGACTGGAGTTGGTCAATCCAGAAACGCTACTCAATTTTGGTTCTCAGGCCCAGGCCTTACGGGGTCAAACTGCACCTGTATAGGGAATGACTCAGTCATTCAGACCCACGGCTGGGACCTTCCGAGGACCGCCGTGGCCTGGGCGTCTTCGTCACGCAGCCGCTGCCGCGGGGCGAGCTGCTGCTGGCCGCCCGGCCGCTGGCCGCGGTGCGCGTTCGGGGACGGGACGAGGACGTGGTGGAGCGGCTGGCAGAGCTGATCTTGGAGCGTGGCCCGGAAGCGGTGAAGAGACGGAGGGGTTGGGGTGAAGAGTGCGAATGGGGTGGTGCAGAATTTTGTGTGTAATTGATGGTCTCAGTATTATATGTGTTTCACACATGTTTTGCAACAATATGTGCGGGCAATAATCCTGCATTGCGAAGTAGATTCAATTTAAATGTTCAGATGTTCCACGGAGACAGAGAAACTGGGCAACACGATGGACGTCCTCTCGGGACGTCTCGGGATGCAGTTTCACAGTGACAGGGCTTCAAGCTAGTGCAAGGTTTCTCCAGCAATAGCCATGGCTTTCATGTCTGGAGCATGGAATCAGCACTTTGCAAGTAAATTGCAAAATCATGCAACGACTTGTCCTCTTGTCATGTGAAATGGACAGGCACTTCTGACGGATGGTGAAGATTAGGATCCTGTTGTTTACACTGGTATACTTACTCTTTTGTGGCCATTTCAATACAACCCTTAGGTCGCCACATTACTTGCTTCCGCTTCGTCCGACCCCAAAACGGATGGCATGTTCCCTATAGCGAGGCTTGGAAGATCCCAACTTTGCCGAGACCTTTTGGAGTCTCAGCACTGGCGACCCCACCGAGCGGCCGTCCCAGCGTCCCAAGCGGCCGCGCCTCGGCGAGCAGCACGAGCGGCGCGGGCAAGTGCTGCGGATCATCGCGGCGAACGCGCGGGGGTGGCCGAGCGAGGATGAGAAGGGCTTGGGCTTGTGGCAATGGTGGCCTGGCGAAGCCTCGATCAGTTTGAGGTCATTTGTAATTAATGATGCACTCTTGGAGTATAATGATGTTGCACTGTTTGATCTTGGAAATCCATTTTTGGAGGTGCGTGGAGTATAATAATGATGCATCATGCATTGTTAATTTGATTTTGACATTGTTTGAGTTTGCGGGTGCGAAGTGAACCTTTGGAGTTCTTCCGCACCAAGGCATGCCTACATGAACCATGCTGCTCCCATGGAGGCAGACAGTCGGAACGGGCGAACTGGTCATGACCTGTTTGAGATCTGCAGAAATGGGAATCAAAATAGGTAGTTACTGCGGAGGGTCTTAGGATGTTTTTGTTGGATAAATCCTTTTCCTCACAACTTGGTGAGGGGAAAGTCACCCTCAAACATGTCTATAGAGCGGATTTGACAGTTCCATTTGCAAGACCCATCTCCATCGTCTATCTCACACCTCACCTCACGGACTCCTTCTTGCACCGCACATATCATCCCCGTCCTTCATCATCCCCACGAGCCACGCATGCAAGCAAATCAGCGCCTGCTTGGTGAAGGCCACCTGTTCGAGTGTCTTCCTGGGTGACGTGCTCCTCCTGCGCACGCTATGCGCTGTGGAGCCGGACGAGGAGCTGACGAATTCCTACTGCGCATTGTCGGCAAAGCTGCAGCTGCGGCGCCAGATCCTGAGGCCTCCGGGTAGTAGGTGCATGTGGAAAGCACAGGACAGGAGGAATTAGCTTGATCTATGTTGTGGCTCCAAATAATTTCATTGTAGAAGGTATACTTGGACCTGTAGCTAGTTAGAGCTCCTAAACGGGTACAGATCCGTACAACCCCCAAAAAACTAAGCTATTTAAACAACCACCAGATTTCTTTTTCTTGGGTTTCCTCACGACCAGCCGCTGGCACTCCGAAAGGCATTGTGGCGTTCCCCTTGGGACCTCGCCCGATGCCGCCGAGTCGGAGCCCGAGGCTGGACTGAGTCGCCAGTCGACTCCCTTATCGTTGGGTACTGTACCGGTCGGTTTGGACTATACCTGGACCTGGCAGAGTCCGCATCAGTTAGCAAGTCCCTTATATAGACAAACATAGAAAATAGTAAAGACACACTCACACATATATAATTGTTCTTATATGTTTTCATCTTATCTCATGTTTCTTTCTATTCCAATTATCTATTCCACCCTATCGCACCAGGTTGGATCCATGGAGGGTCCTTTCGTTTCAACCCCGGAAAGCGCGACACGAAGCCCACCGAAGCGCGGCACTCTTTGGTTCCAACCGGACCAGTGTTGGAACACAAAAACCACGCACCCAAGGATGGATGTATGTGGGTTGAATATGGTTAAATCATGAGACCCTTCAAGCAAGTCGTATATGCAACGTTGCCTTTGTTCGGGATGTGATCATTCCATGTAAAACAGGGAAGACGGGGAATACCATGTTCCAGCCCAGTGCTACTGTATCAAGCATGCCGGGAACAATTATCAAACGGGATGAGCAAGGCCATCTGAAGTTGATTTCGAGGGAATGGTGAGTCTACCAAGTGAGTCACAGAGCCTTTGTTCTTTCTCTTGGTGGGAGGATTCAGCAGATCTCTTTGAGGCTATGACAAGAGCTGAAGTTTTGGCCCCATGAACCCCCTGGATCGAATGATTTCAGACACGGCCAAGAACTCATCAGAACATTCTGGTGCATCAAGTATACATGATTATGCCGATATATACTTATACTTGATATAGTTTCGGAGCTCCAAGAACTTGTCGATGTCTTGCAAGTCCAGGATGGCGAAGGTGACGATGAAGCCTTGCAACTCTGCTGCAAGTAAGCATGTCACTGGAGTCCAAACAGAATCCCATTCTACCCAGATCTTGCCAAGTTTCTCACACCGACCCCCTGCAACTGCCCCATGGCTCTGAAGGCTTCCAGCCCTGCGCGCCCTGCGCGCCCTGCGCGCCGCGCGCGCCGCCAGCGTGGACGCCACCGCGGCGGTGCACGGCGGCGCGGACGCCGCGGTCGCGCGGGCGACGGAGCTGTGGCGGAAGGTGGTGGACCTCGCTGCGGAGGAGGTCTTCGGCCTCCAGAGGCGGCGAGAACCCGTGGGGTGGCGAGGTGGCGAGGTGACTCGAGAATTTAAGATGCTTGTTACATCCTTGGAGAAATAACTCTAGCTTTGTGGGTTTTATGGCGGGTTTTGGAGATGTGGTGTTTGGTGGTCATAGGCATAGGTAGATTCAAATTGAGTCTTTGAACGTTTTGGAGGTGTTATGCGACGATTTGGACAGTCGTTTTAGATGCGGGTGTTGAGCCATCCTGGTAGGTACAACCGTAGAGATTCGTAGATCATGTTGCTTCCACTTGTTTGACAGCATCTATATTTTGTTTATCTAAGGTCCGAAGGAGACCCACAAGGGAAACCTAAAGAAACCAACTATACAGGAGATCTAAGAGCAGATTCCTTCTTTCACTGCTGGACTCGTCGATCCTGGCCAGGCCCACCCACCCAATCTTCTTCCCCATGCGCGCGGAGCTGCTTCAGCTGCAGCTCCGGGCCGCGCGGGGCTTGGGCGACATGGCCAAAGTGGCAGAATTGCATCAAGCCATGGCGAAGAGTTTGGCCCAGGATTGGGTTGTCCAAATTGTAAAGTGGTCAGGAAGAGTGGCTTGGACTGGCTGGCTAGTCAATTTCACATTTAATTAGGGTGCACTCCGCTCATTCATATAGGCCTTAGCCTCACCTCCAGAGGAGCAGCCGATGAATGTGGAGGTCCTGGCCCACTGGATCGCCCATCTCCGCGCTGTGCCCGCCGTCGACGGCCACGCGGCAGTCGGCGCGACCGGGCGGTTGACGCGCTTCTGGTTGGGCCGAAGGCCTGGGCTCAAGGTGGTGGCGGAGTGGCTTGATGGCGTTTGGCGGTTCTCCAGACTATAGTGAAGGTATATTCAAATGGAACGTCAATAGATCAAATCCTGTGTTTTTAGTTGGGTTCAACAGTTCAACTGGTGGGGTTTGCTTGGTTCACGCAGGTTGAGCGCTGCTCGTTTTTTAAAATTCCTAATATCTAAAGTATTTGAGCGTTCCAGGTGTACTGTCTTTGGTGTCATGACACCAGCAGTCTGAGGTGGATGGAGTCGTGTGGCCTCGGGCCTCGGCGCTTGTGAAGAGGCCAAAAAGGGAGCTTTGCCCCGGTGCGGTGTGAGGTTGGAAGCGGGGTGGCCGGAAGCTGTTCTAAAGGTGTTTGGAGAAGGGTTTGTTGAAACTTGAAACACAATTCTTTTAGAGATCCTTTTAGAATTGTATGCAAGCTCACCTCAACAGGAAAGACGAGGACCTGTGACCTCACTGTAACATACCTGTATAACCAGTTTCTGGCCCTAATGGTCGATTTCGTATCGACTTTCTTTGGAGAGTTTTTTTTTTGCAAGGTGTGTTCGATGGTTTTCTCTCTTGGAGAGGGTGTTTTTGGGCCATTTGGCCATCTCCCAGATTTCCGTGCCTTGGACTTCATCCAATTAGCGTTGAAGGAGGTGGTGTGAGATTTTGGGGGTATGACAGTCGGATCCTATCGCTTCCGAGTGACTTCACCAGGAAGAGCCTAATGACCATGACGGTGCTTCCTAGTCTTAAGTCCTTGCGCCATCACACTATGCAATCTCTCAGGCCGGGAGGAGGCTTTGCAAAAAGAACCGATTGGCAGTGTTGATTTGTGAAGTGGAATGAGACTTATGATCCCCAAATTCCAGGCAAACCACAACAAAAAATCACCCGCAAAGAGCACTTGAAACTCAGCAATCCTCACTTCGACAGACCTTTTTTCAATGATACCAAGGTCTACCTCGTAGTGCTCAGCGTCCAGTGGGTGCCGGGGGCCTCCGGAGGGTGCTGGCATGAGAGGATGAAGGATTCTCAGCGACTGCCTTCGTTCAGGAATTCGATCCACTTCTGGTTGAGAAGGAAAGTGCTCAGACACTCCATATGGAAGGGTGCATTTTCCATATGTTGGTAAATTTCCATCATGTCCTTGGGGTATATATTCCATATATATATATATATATATAGAAGGTGAATTACAGACACTCCAATTTTGGAAGTTCTTTACGATGATTTACCTACATTGGGGTGGTTTAGGGGTCCATGTGATTCCATAGAGTGTCCCGGGTGGTTGCAAATCTATCAGATGCTTATTCTTGTCTCACCTGAGATTCTCAATGGGTGCGGGAAACACATGTGGAAAAGCAACGTGACGGTGCTTTGCTTTGAAAATTTGGGATTCCAGAATTCTAGAGATTCTCTTGGTGCAGTCACAGTCACATAGATTTCGGGAGATTGAGGAGCAAATACACTTTTGTGGAGCTCAACATTCCAACCCTCGGACAGTCTTTGGTCACCTTTAGTGTACAAAAGACTTCTTCTGAGCCTATGATGTGGGTCTCTTCTTGTAGAAAGCAAGTCCGGAAGATACAAATCAAAAGAAGAAGTCTTGTTAACCTGCTAGTGCTTCTTGGTGCATCACTGCTGAATCACCTCCGTTGAGCCCACTGAGCCCAAGGGAGAACATGTGGGGGACACCAAGCTGGTGATGGTAAGAAAGATCGTGAAAGTATGAAGGCATGTGTGTTTGAAAGTATGAAAGAAAGGGCCGTTTGTATCAACCTGCCATGTTTGTAACATGTATACCTGGCATGAAGCGAAGACCGTGAAAGTGAGAGGAGGATGGCCAGATTTCTCCCCTTCAACGCAGTCAGTCACCGGCCACGTTGGCAGCGTCCGAGTCATTTGAAGGCACCAGAGACTTAACAACAGCAAGCCATGCTGCCGTTTGAGCCAAGGCTTGTGCTGGGCTTTTTTAGCTTTGGACTCAACAACATCCTTTTGATGCTTCTCAGCGAGCATGTGTGGCAGTGGCACCATCAACAGATGGAGGGGGGGCTGCGGTGTCATTCGCTCACTTGGAACCAATCAAAGGAGATCATGTTCCGCAAAGCTTAAGAACCACATCCACTTCTAGGTGGTGGTTTCAAATATGTTGTTTGTTTAATTCTTTGCTTGGGATGTTTGAACGTACGGACTCATATAAGTGATTTGACACCGATATATGGGATCTTACCAAAAGTCATCCTATTACGTGCACGTGGTAATAGACTTAGAAGTGGTCGGAGTTCGCATAATCCTCAACACACCCGCGGATGTCGCACAGGTCATAAGTTTGCTTTGGCCCCAACATCACCAACGTTCGTTTTTTGAAGACATGTGCAGATGAAATCAACCCTGAATGTGGTTTGGAAATCATTTGTTCTCGAACGGGAGGCATGTGTAAAGAGAATTGTAGGCGGTCTTTGTTTGTTTTGGTGCAGAGTTTGATCCGGATATGATCTGCTCTATAGCCCTAGTTTGTTCCCCTGTCGACCTGCTAGGCTTAGTTGCAACCTTTTCACAAGAGTTTCTTTTTGGGGTAGGAAGTGCTAGGACGAACAAATTACCAAGAGCCCCTGAGTCTTTACAAGATTGTTGTCTATGTTGTAAGGGAGTTGTCGATTTCTCCAACAAAAACACATAGGGCACACGGCATGTCGGATTTCCGTATGTCCGGACCCCACGAACCCGCTGACCGTGTTCGCACGGAGGCTTTCATTGCTCGTTTGGCTCTTGGTCTGTGGCCTAGTCGGACCGGGCGCTTCACTGTTGGGACGGGTCGGCGGTGGTTTCAATTCATCCACGGAAGGATATTAATTAGATTTAGTGAGATAGTGCATACTATGCATTATGCATGCATGCTGCTTTTCAGCTTTGGGTGTAAAACAACTGTTGCTTCCAGAGCAGAGCGGGGGGGTTGCCTAAAGCCAAGCTTCTCCCGACTTTTTCTCTCTACCAGCACGTTGCCCTGCTGGTGACCTCCCAGGCTGCCATGTAGATGCCTCACCTTCTGGTTGCTTTCATGCTCTTTTCCCTAAACAGTGTGGTAACACTCAACCTTGCGCGAGTTTCTAGCGTTTGATTTTTGGCAGTTTTACTCGTA